CCATTGCCAAGCCTCCTCCTTTTTTTCCCAAAGCCCCAGTAGATAGTTGTATGTCATAGTTGCACATCCTTCTAGTTGCTGTATGTGGGACGTGGCCTCAGCATGGCCAGAGAAGCGGTGCGTCGGTGCGCGCCCGGGATCTGAACCCGGGCCGCCGGCAGTGGAGCGTGCGCACTTAACCGCTAAGCCACGGGGCCGGCCCTTAAATGTTTTCTTAAGTGGGTATGTAGTTCTGGCTTTTCAGTGAGAAATTTCCAAACTATGCTTATTAGCTTTAAGTGGTCTTTTGAAATGATCTAAAAATTTTTCTCAATATCCTTTTTGTGTTGAACACATACATCTGAAACCTGTATTTAACCTAAGATTATTTCTACTCACCTAAATATGGAAGTGTATATTTGATTGGAAAATTGTATATTTTATATCAAAATACAGTAATCAAGAGTTTTGTGATGTATAATAAATCAGTAATTTTATCATATTATTTTGATTATAAAAGTAATACATGTACATGTACATTGGGAAATTTAGAAAAGCACAAAGAAGAAAATAAAGTACCTTTTAAAAAACAAAAGAACAAAATTGGTATCATGCTGTACATACAATGTGATAATCTGCTTTTTCACATAGTAGAGGTGAGCATTTTCTGATGTCATTGATATCTCTACACTGTGACTTTTACAAGTTTTGTATTCCAGCATATGGATGTACCATAGTGTATTTAGCTAATCACCTATTGTTGAACTTTAGCATGTGGCCAGGTTTGGGCTGTTATAAACAACAATTTAACTAATAATATTTCTGTGGATAAATCTTTGTGTATAAATTTATGTATTTATTTATGCCTAGCATAAATTCCTAGAAGTTGAAATTCTAGAACGTATTCCCATTTAATGCACTCTAGAATGGTCACACAGTTTCTCTTTTCACCAACAGCATCTGCTTTTCTACATCCTTACCAACACTGATTATTATAAATCTTTCTCTTTGATAGATTGAGAAGCAAAAAGTATTATTTTAAGGTCACTATTAACGTCGTCATTTAAATTAGGTTACTAATAAGTGATAATTTTTATTTTTTATTAACTATATCATTTGTAGATGGCTTGATCCTATCCTTTATGTTTTCTTTTTGGAGTGATTATCTTTTTCTAATTGATTTATAGAGCTTTTTCACTTATCAAGAATATTAACCCTTTGCTTTCTAACTTTGCTTATGTATGTTTGGCATGGTATGTACATTTTCTGGGTAAAATTTAAAACAATTATACGACTTAAAGAAATTTCAAATGTAAAACTCAAGCAAATAAAAGCATTGTTATTCAATGAAAATAAGAACATTATTGACTATAAATCTAAATAGCCTTACCCAAAATTCATGTGAGTCCTTAGAGACCTTAGATACTTCTTTATGATTTTGCACAGTTTTTTTTAAATAAAACAGGCAACGTTAAAAATGTTTAAATCTAAACTGCTTGTCCTTTTTTTTTTTTTTTATAATTTTATTTATTTATTTTTTCCCCCAAAGACCCAGTAGATAGTTGTATGTCATAGCTGCACATCCTTCCAGTTGCTGTATGTGGGACGCGGCCTCAGCATGGCCGGAGAAGCGGCGCGTCGGTGCGTGCCCGGGATCTGAACCTGGGCCGCCAGCAGCAGAGCGCGAGCACTTAACCGCCAAGCCAGGGGGCCGGCCCAAAACTGCTTGTCCTTTTAAAGGAATAGTTGAAACCATTGTTGGAATTCTTTGTACTAAAAGGAATCAAGGAAAAAAGTTATGTTTTAAAATAGATATCATTTTAGTTTTAAAATAGATTTAATTTCTTAAACTTGTTTTGTCAGTTTGGGACTCCACTCTGACATTCTCGCATGCTTCTCCTTGCCATTATACTAAATGATATTCCGCTTTCCTTTCTGTGCTTCATCTTGTCTTTCAATTAATTTCTTAGCTCCTATGAAACTGCTTATTTTTATTTTCTTCTTACATAGGAGGCTGATCCAACAGAGTAATACCTGATTATATCACCACTAGATGGCAGAATGTAATAAGTCAGATCTGTAGTCTTTTGACAGCTGTGTGTGTGTGTGTGTGTGTGTGAGAGAGAGAATGTGTGTGTGTGTGTGTGTGAGAGAGTGTGTGTGTGTGTGTGAGAGAGTGTGTGTGTGTGTGAGAGAGAGTGTGTGTGTGTGTGTGTGAGAGAGTGTGTGTGTGTGTGAGAGTGTGTGAGAGAGAGAGTGTGTGTGTGTGTGTGTGTGAGAGAGAGAGAGAGTGTGTGTGTGTGTGTGTGTGTTTTGGAGAACTCTCACTCCATCTTGTGGTGATATATAATTATATCAATTACTCTTGCATTCCTAATAGTCATAAATGTCTCAACAACTCATGATTACTTTATTAGGGCAATGCCAGACTGCTTAGTTATTAGTAAATAAATACAGTAACAGCATTAAGATTTGTGTATGGTTAAAGAGAAGAATACTATTGCTTTTTTTTTTTTTTTGTCCTTTCACTTAAAACTTTGAAGTACTTTATTAGCGTTATTTGTGATTAACCCTTGAGATGTAAACAAGACAAGACAATTGTAGGATACATCTGGTTAAATATCTGGCTAACCTAAGCTGTGTAGTTAAATCACACAGCAAGTTAGTGAATAGATCCTGCCTGAAACATGAGAAACTTAAAACTAGATGTTACTCTTGTAACTAGAACCAACTGTTATCACACAGCTGGTTGAATGACAGAGAAAGGATTGGAACTCAAGTATTCTGGCTCCAGACCCCAAGTTCTTCATCTTAACCAAACTGTTCTTTAACAGCTTGCAATATTGAAACGTATGGACACTGACTCTAAAACTCAACTGCAATGATTCTTAACTATTATAAAATCAAGTTTAGATTCTTGTGGTTAAGACTGAAAAGTTTCTGTATCTTGGGCATCCTCTGCAGTAGGGAATGGTCTAATCGAATATTTAAATATATACATTAAGTGCTATATTGTAAATCCTTTTTGGGGGGAAAATGATTCGGGAATAAAATCATTCATGTGTTTAAATGTTTTCCCAGAATTAGGTAAGGTAAAGAACATTTTATTAAGAATACACTTAGAAATTTTGCATTACGTTAGGGTTATTGTCAACTGAAGATAATATACTATTCAGAAATGGTATTATAGTCTTTTATGCTACATGGTTAATTAACAGGAAGTCCCTCTGGCTTTGTACTTTTTCACCAGTTTTCTGAATTCTTTACAATGAGCCTGTTTTTAACTCAGCCAATTGAAACATAATTTGGTTAAAAGAATAGTTCCTACCAATGTACATATTTGCTTCAGTAAAAGAAAGCAGAATGTGCTGTTTATTATTTTGATTTTGTGTTTTCCAGGTAGTATTGCAAGTCTACATAATTGAATACCTTTCTCAGGGTGTTTTAAGATACATTAGACCTTCATTACAACATAAATGTAATCACAGT